TGGGCGCAGCTCCCCCGGGCCTTGGGCAGCGGTGGCTCGGGAGCGGCCAAGGGGGGGGTGTCCAAGAGGGGGGGGGTGTAAATCATGACCGGCGGCATGTGCGCGGCGCAGCGGGGGGGCCGGGAACGTAATGAAACAAGAAGGGGCGCCATGAAATCTGGGGTGACATCATGGCCCCCGCCATGATATCCCCCCCCCCTAGTCATCACCCCCCTCTTTGCCGCCCCCGAAGCGCGTGCTTGAAGGGGCCCCAGGACACACAAATAAATACACACAAATAAACATATTCCCTATATTTCCCCATATTTTCTGGGTTTCTGTCCTCCCCCCACTTCCCATATTCTGGGAGTCGACGAATAATTGTGTCTGTGTGTTTTTTCCCCTCCTGAGTGCTGTCCGTGCCGGCCCGGGAGGGCCCCGAGAGGGGCCGGGAGGGCCCGAACAGGTCGCGCGGGGAGGCGCGACGGGGCCCAGCGCGCCCCCGAGAGCGGCCCGAGGCGCCGGAGGTGGACTCCATCTAGGGGGCCGCGTACGGACCCTACCCCCTGCGAAATGCTTTAGAAATCATGGGTTAAGAAATTCATCGTCTCAGATCTGGAATAAAAACCCAACGTTTCTATCAAAATCTTAGGATTTACATTGAAACGTTAAGAATAATCGAGACTCTGGCCGAAAACTTAGGTTTTCTTAAGCATCGCCTAAGGTGGACCCCTACCCCCCACGATTTTTGAGGGGGAGGGTGGGGTTCATCGCCTAAGGTGGACCCCTCCCCCTCAAAAATCGGGGCAGGGGTAGGGTCCGCACGCGGCCCCCTACTCCAGGCGGCCCAGGAGGCCCCCGAGACGCCCCAAGAGGGCTCCGAGAGGCCTCCCAGGAAGGCCCCAAGAGGGCAAGATCGCTGATGTGCCTCAGGTTTGAGGAGGTGCGCTCTCGCCTTTTCGGCCTCCCGATGCTCCAAGACGGCCCCAAAGAACCCCAGACCACCCCAAAACGGCCAAATAGGCCCAAAGACGACCTAAGAGGGCCCCAAGAGGCGCCCAAGACGGCCCCGGAGGGCCCGGAGACGGCCCAAAGAGACGCTCAGGAGACAAGCGCCAGCCGAAAAATCGCCCCAAGAGGCCACAAGGAAGCCCCAAGAGGCCCCCGGGAGTCCCCAAGAGGCCCCCAAGCGGCCCCAAAGAGGTCCCAAGAGGCCCCCAAGAGGCCCAACTGAGGCTCCAAACGACTCCCAACAGGCCTCCAAACTGCCTCCAAAAAGGACCCCGAGAGGATTCCCACGAGATCTCAACGAACATCCAATAGGCTTCATACCCACAACCCAAGCACGGTGGCGGGATGGGCCGCAAATCATTTGATCCGCCGCCCCCTGTCGATTCATCGCAGGGGTGCCTGGCGTGCCAAACTATTACGGTGTTGGTTTTGGTTCTTTCTACAAAATGACTCCCCCTGGGGCTGCGGCCCGTCCCGCCGGCAACCCGGGAAACCCCCAATTCGGGAAAAAATCTGCCAAGACGGCTCAAGATGGCATCCAAGATAGCCACGTTGGCCCAAGATGGCCTCCAAGATGGTCCAAGATGGCCTCCAAGTCTGCCCAAGATGGTCCAAGACGGCCCAAGAGAGTCCAAGACGGCCTCCAAGACGGCCCAAGAGAGTCCAAGACCGCCCAATAGGCCTCAAACAGGTCCTCCAGGAGGGCCCGAAGAGGCCAAAATCATGTATTCTCCTTTGAAGGATTTTGGCAGCTGCTTCTTCTCGACATTCCCACGGCTCAAGACGGCCAAAGAGGCCGCCAAGATCGCCCCAAGATCCCCATGACCGCCCGAGAGGCCCCCAAAACGGCCCCAAGAGGCCCCCCAAACGACCCAAGAGGCCTCCAAGACGCCCAAGATGGCCTCCAAGACGGCCCCGAAGCGCCCCAAAAGGACCCCAAGTCGGTTCGGAAAGGCCCCCTAACACGGCTTCCGACGGCGTCAGACGTGCCAGGAACCCACCAAGATGGCCGAAGTTGGCTCGAAGCTGGCCCAAGACGGCCCAAGAGGGCCTCCAGGAAAGCCAGACAAGGCTATAAAACTTTGATGTTCCTGAGGTTGCTGGAGGATGTTGACATTTGCTTCTTTTCTGCCTTCCGACGGCCCGAGACGGCTCAAGAGCCCCCAAAGATCGCCCAAAGATCGCCCTAGAGGCCTCCAAGATGGCCCCAGAACGGCCCAAGAGGCCCCCAAGACGGCCCCAAGAGGCCTCCCAGACGGCCCAGGAGGCATATAAGACGCCCAAGATGGCCTCCAAGACGACCCTGGAGCACCCTCAGAGGGCCCTAAGTCGGCCCAGAGAGGCCCCCCAAACGGCTTCCGACGGCGTCAGGCGGGCCAGGAGCCCACCAGTACGGCCGAAGATGGCCCTAAGATGGCCCAAGACGGTCCAAGAGGCCTCCAAGAGGGCGTCCAGAAAGGCCCGAAAAGGCCAAAATCATTGGTTTCCCATGAGTGTTTGAAGGATTGTGGCATTTGTTTTTTTTCTGACTTCCGACGGCCCGAGACGGCCCAAGTGCTCCCAAAGATCGCCCGAGAGGCACAAGACGGCCCCTAGAGGCCCCAAGACGGCCCAAGGGGCCTCCAAGACGCTCAAGAGGCCCCCAAGATGGCCCAAGACGGCCCAATAAGGACCGAAAGGGTCAAAATGGCCTCCAGGCGGCCAAAAGGACCTTCAAGATGCCCACGTGTTCCCCGAAGGCTTTTTCCAAAACGATTCAGGGAACACATGGTCCGATAGCTTGGCAGGTCTGGCCTCAACGTTCGGCCACATAGGCGCTTCCAAAAAGACAGGGGGCGGTGATGATTCACCGTAGGCGTCTTCGATCCGCCGCCCCCTGCTGGCTTGCCACAGGGGTGCCCGGCGTGCCAGACCCTCCTGGCTTTGGTTTTGCTTCTTTTTCCCAAATGGCTATCCCCTGGGGCTCTGGCCCAGCCCGCTGGCCATCAAGAAGGACCCGGAAAGGATCGCAAGGCCCGGTTGCCAATGTTCTTCCTGCTCCTGACGGCACCAATCTGGCCCAAGCTGGCCTCCAAGATGGCCTGCGGGATGGCTCCATGATGGCCAAGATGGCCTCCGAGACGGCCCAGCAGGGTCCACTATACTTCCAAGTCCGCCCAAAAAATCTCCAGGAGGACCCAAGACTGCCCAAGAGGTGCCCAAAGAGGCCTCTCAGACGGCCCAAGAGGCATCCGAAAGGTCCTCCAGGAGGGCCCGACGAGGCCAGAATCATGGATTTTCCCCGGGACTTTGAAGGATTCTCGAGCTTGCTCTGTTTCGGCCCACCGACGGCCCGAGACGGCCCAAGATCGTCCCCGAGATCGCCACAAAGATCGCCCAAAAAGGCCTCCAGGATTGCTCCAGAGCGGCCCAGGAGGCCCCAAAGACGGCCCCAAGAGGCCCCCCAAACGACCCAAGAGGCCTCCAAGACGCCCAAGATGGCCTCCAAGACGGCCCTGGAGCACCCAAAGAGGGCCCCATCTCGGCCCAGAGAGGCCCCCAGGACGGATTCCGACGGCGTCAGACGGGTCAAGAGCCCACCAAGACGGCCCAAGATGGCTCCACAATGGCCCAAAGACGGCCCCAGAAGATGCCAAAATCCTTGATTTTCCTTAGTTTGTTGAGGGATTTAGGCTTGTGCTTCTTTTCGACCTTTCGACGGCCCGATACGGCCCAAGATCCCCCAAAGATCGCCCTAGAGGCCTCCAAGATGGCCCCAGAACAAGAGGCCCCAAGGCTGCCCAAGGGGCCTCCATGATGACGCACAAGATGGCCCCGAAGACGGCCCTGGAGCACCCCAAGAGGGCCCCAAGTCGGCCCAGAGAGGCCCCCAAGACGGCTTCCGACGGCGTCAGATGAGCCAGGAGCCCACCAAGACGACAGAAGGTGGTTCTAAGATGGCCCAAGACGGCCCAAGAGGCCTACAAGGGGGCCTCCAGCAAGGCCCGAAGAGGTCAAAATCATTGATGTTCCTTCGGCTGTTGAAGGATGTTGACATTTGCTTCTTTTCGGCCTACCGACGGCCCGAGACGGCCCAAGAGCCCCCAAAGATCGCCCCAAGATTGCCCAAGAGGCCTCCAAGCTGGCACGACCTCAGAGGTCTTCAAAACGGCTCCAAGAAGGCCCCAAGAGGCCCCCACGACGGCCCCAAGAGGGCCCAAAGGCTGCCCAAGGGGCCTCCAAGACACCCAAGATGGCCTCCAAGACGGCCCTGGACGCCCAAAAGGGCCCCAAGTCGGCGTAGAGAGGCACCCAAGACGGATTCCGACAGCGTCAGACGGGCCAGGAGCCCACCAAGACGGCCAAAGTCGCCCTCGAGAAGCCCCCGAAGACCCCCAAGAGGCCCAAGGAGGCCCCCAAGATGCCTCCAAGAGGCTCCCAGGAAGCTACCAGGAGGCCCCAAGAGCGTCCCCATAGACTCCCAAGAAGTTCCCTCCTCCTCCTCCGCCTCCTTCTCCTCCTCATCCTCCTCCTCCTCATCCTACATCCTACTCCTACTCCTCCTCCTCCTCCTCCTCCTCCTCCTCCTCCTCCGCCTCCTCCTGATCTTCCCCACCATCCTCCCCCAAGTGTTCCCCGAAGGGTCTCAACAACGGTTGGGGGAACACATGGTCCGATAGCTTGGCGGAGCTCTCGCCACAACGCTCGGCCACATGGGCGATTCTAGAAGGCAGTGGGCGGCGGTGATTCGCAGCAGGCGTCTTCGATAAACTGTCACACGTCATTTCGGGTCAGCGCTCGGTCTGCGCCAATCTGCGCTGAATGCCCCTGGCGGCGCCTTCAGCGAAGTCCCGAGAACTCCGCGCGGACGTCCGAAGCTCATGGCCATGATCCGTTCCCCCAAAGACAAGGTTCCCATTTCGGAGTCTCGACTGCGGGCCGCCGCCGCCGCCCGCCGCCCGCCGCCCACCCTCCGCCGCCCGCGGCGCGGGAGGGCGCGCGAGGCTCCCGCGGCGCGCTGGGGCGCGCACGGACGCTCCACCGCCTCGCAGAGGAGGTCCACGATGTCCTGAGGGGGAACCGCCGTCGCCGTCGCCGCTGGCCGCCGTCACTGCCAGCCGCCGCCTCCGCCGGCGGCGTCGTCGCCGTTCGCCGCTCGCCAGCGCCACCGCCACTCGTCGGGGTCCCCGGCTTCGTCGTGTTCCTCGTTGTCGTCGTCGTGCCGTTCTCCGCTTCCTCTCCTCCATGTCCTCCTCCATCTCCTCCTCATCCTCCTCCCTCATCGTCGTCCTTCTCTTCGGCGTCCTCAGCGAAGGCAAGGGGGAGGACGACAACGAGGTCGAGTTAGTAGGATTTGGGCGAAGATGCATGAGAGCGACGAGGGGCTGGTTCAAGGACTTTACCGAGAACGAAGACAAGGAGTTATGAAGTGCAGCGTGGTGTGCTGCTTGTCGAGCGCCGAGGTCACTCCTCGGATACCATCTCTCTCTCTCGCGCGAGCCTCACGCGACCGTTCGCTGGCCAGGGCGCCGCAGCAGGCCCCTCCTGAGGAGGGAAAGGAGGAGGAGGAGGAGGAGGAGGAGGAGGAGGCGGAGTAGGAAGAGGATCAGGATGAAGACGAGGAGGGCAAGGAGGAGAAGTAGGCTGAGAAGGAGGAGGAGGAGGAAGAGCAAATGCTGCCCTGGTAGCGCACGCGCACCTTCTCCTCCAGGTAGTGGCGCACTTGAGCGGCGCACCCAAGGCCATCCTGCAAGGCCACGTTCGCCCTCGCAGGCCCATCCTCTGGTTGTTTTGACGCCGCACCCAGCAGCAGTGCGCGCCTCACGACGTCCAGGGCATCCTCGGCGGTCCCTAGGCACATGTTGCTTCTCGTGCTCAAAGAATCCCTGTAATGGCACGAATCCATCAGGCCGTTTGTCACAGCCGTGAGCAGCGTGAAGTGGCCGCCCTTCACGCCCATATTCCTCAAACGCAGCAGCGCCCCGTCATATCTCAGCAGGACCCCGGTCGTGCACCCCAGAAGCCGCACCACAGGAGCGGCTGCAGCGCAGAAACCGCCTGATCCGAGATCGTCGGGCCCTCAGCAGTGACCCTGGCGATGTTCCAGGTCACGTCTGGCCTCGCGATGAGGAGTTTGTCAGATGTGCCACGCGTCGCCTCGCGCACAGCACTCCAAAGGTCCACGTGCCACGCGCTTACCTTCTTCGGTTTGTCTTCCGTCGCAGCCTCCATTCAGCTGTTGCTGGCAGGGTCCACGACGTTGGCTGCTTCAAAGAAATCACTCGCTTGCCAATCCGGCTCTGGAAATTAGCATGCCGGAGCTCGCGCTTTGCCCAGAACTTCTCGGAGTAGCTCAAGAGGGCGCCGGATATCTCGACGGTGCGGCACACGTTCTCAGGCGAGATGGTGCTCATCCCCGTGACCTTGTCCCTGCCGGTCTCACTGGCGGCGCGGCCATAGAGGAGTGTTTTTTTTTTTTTTTTTTTTTTTTTTTTTTTTTTTTTTTTTTTTTTTTTTTTTTTTTTTTTTTTCCCCGCGGGGTAGAACGCAAAACGTTTTATCATCCATAGAGGAAGCGAGCGGCCTCCTCCTCTGGATCGGGACCCTGCTCTGGGGCACCAGACCCCTGGGCATGGCCTCGGGACCCAAGGACATCGGGCTCCAGTGCAGGCGACCGCTGCACTGGGGCCCTCAAAACTTGCTCCTGGAAACCTCGCGCCTCCTCTCGTGCTGCTATCCGCTGCCTCATCCCCTCCAGTCCTGGAATTAAACCCGTGCCTGAAAGATCACTCTGAAGACGCTGAAACCACACAGCACGTTGAGGGCGCTGTTGGGTCTCGAGTAACCTCTGGCGCTCCATATCACTTAGAATGTGGAGCACAACTCCTGGTGCGGCACGATTGGACTGGGGGTGGAGGCCTCGGAGCATACGATTGAGGCGACATTTACTGGCCGACGACACCACATAGCCTCGGCACTGCTTCTCAAGCTGACGACTGAGACGCTCAGTGCTGTAGGCACCGCAGCGCCTGCAAAAGACCAAGCTCGGACCTGACGAGAGACGTGTGTAGACCAGGTCATGTCCGAGGGCGGGCCGCCTCAGGAAAGAGAAGTTCTGCCTCCTCCCTGGGCAGCCCGACATATCAAGAGCATTAGCACAAGTACCTGTACGGCGAGCGTGACAATCATAACAAATGAAGGAGCCTGGTGCACCTGGGACGGCAGTCCACGCATGCCATCGGTTAGCACCTGTGCTCCTAGGGCAAGGAACCTTTCTCCGTTCAGGGAACTGGGAAAACGGAAACAGGGGTAAAACCGCCCCCATCACACTGGCCACAGCTCGGGCCTTGCCAACCAGGGCCGAGAGGTCATCCCAGGACTCTTGAGGTTCCTGCGCGTGCATTGCTAGAGCCTCCTTCGCGAAACGATCCGCATGGAAGTTAGCACGTCCTATCCTACGCTCCTCTGGAGGGAGAGCATCAATTACATCCATGCTTCGATGGGCAGGGGTGTGGGTCGCAGGGCCGACGTTTTTTGAGCCTTGGATCTCCCAAAAACCCCTCCGCAGCCCAGCATATTTGTTCCTGGAAGACACCTGAAGGGCAGCCGACTGATTATGATACCGCACGGGACCCAGACAGTCCGAAAAAACACCGAGCTGGTGCGTCAGCTGCCCCACAAAGAAACTTATAGCAACTAAACCCATGTGTTCAGCTGCCTGAGGGGTCTGCGGCAAACTTGGCCAGACCGGCCCACGAAACCTCGCCAAGACTTCCTCCGAGCCTCGCTCAAGGAACACTCCAGCAAAGGAAGCTCGCGCAAGCTCGCGTATCGGAGGCCTCGTGCACGACCCATCGACGACGACATCGCTGGCTCCCTCGATACACGAGAAGTCCGACAGGACATTGCCTTGCGCATCTAAGAGCTCAGGATAGATCAAATCGGTAGGAGGTTGGAAGGTGAGAGAAGGATGAGGAAAGATGAGGCGAGTCCAAAACGGGTTCGTCGGACCAGCCTCCAAGGCCTCTTGCACAAGCTCTGGGGTGGCTACCTCTCCTCGGGCCTGCGCAACCTCGGGACTTGGGCACACCCAGAGTCTGTGGAGGACACTATCAGGAGCACCACAACGTGGACAGAGGCCATGATCTATGTTTAACCTGTCACACGTGAACACAGCCTTACAAAAGCAACTAGCTACAGCATACTTCTGCCTAGGCGTATACTTCTTAGACGTGCACACTATGCTACGCACAATGTCAGAACACACACGTGCATGCTCAAAATTATCTACACAACGTGCCATGTCATGCTCATGTTTACGCTGAACAGCATCACGAAGCAAACCTTTAAGCATGTTAGGAGCCGTGTACATGAGCGAGATCTCCACCCCCTTATCATCCTCCCAGAGAGCGAAGTTCTTAGCGGACCAGCCAACACGTTGGAGAGAGAGGAGCATCCGCGAGATCGGTCCTTTCGTATGTCGCCATCTGTGATGTGGCTCCATTCTCTCCTGAACTACCTGGAACATCTGATGAAGCTCTCGAATGCTGAAGAGAGCGCGCTCTGGTGCAACCAGGGCCTGCCAAACTGCCACACTCCATGCAACTGCAGGTGCAACGCTGACGTCGGCCATCGGGTCGCCGTGGAGCACAATCTTCGACAGCAAAGATCCACCCCTATGCGATGGAGAGCGAAAACTGAGAAGTGTGGCACGAGCTCGCTGCAGCTCGTAGTCAGACATTCCAAGCACAGAACTACCATAAGCAAGAGCTGGTTTAAGGCCGGCCTGATGTATTACTGCCATTCGATGTTTCCCGTGAGATAACCATTTACGAAATCGGAGAACCCGAGAATGTCGAAGGCGAAACTGGCGAAACCGCTCACGACGCTTACGAAGGGCCCCTTTCGTCATCCGAACCTGCGCTGGCGTAAAGTCGACCCCAAGATTCACCGACGAGTGGGTTATGGTGCCTGCTGGGAGCCCTCGGAGCTGAAGTTGATGCGCTAGCGCCTTAGCTAAGGATGGTGAGCTGGCAATCGTAATAGCTTTAGTTTCCGATATGTCGGCTCTAAGTTGTCCCCGAAACGTGTGATAAAAATCCTCAGCTGCATCTGGAACCAATTTAAGCAAGTCAGCCTTAGTACCCGTCGCCATGATCGTGTCGTCGTCGACATACGAAGACAGCCGAATAGGATGTGGAAAGCGAGCCGTGAAAGCGTCGAAGGCCCCGATCGCATATACCTTTACGAAAGCATCGTTGAAAATATCACCTGCAGGTAGGCCGCTCTGAGCAAAAAGTGCAACTGGATGAAAGGAAATGCCCAGCCTAATCAGCCGCGGAGAGCGCCAGAGATTGAACATCGTTTTTACAATCACCCCAGGGATGCCCCATTGTCGAGCTCGGTCGCGCAGAAGCTCCAGACGGAAAGATTCGTAGTATTTCTTGCCGTCCCACTGGACTCCCAGGACCACCTGATCATCCGCCGCCGCAATCTCTCCAAGGGCCGTCTGGGCCCACACACATGACTCAGCGCTCTTCCCAGAACCAAAGGCCCAGTAGGCCCTCTCCGTGGTCGCAAAGAAGGGATCCAGCATGGGGCGGCGGAGCCTCTCCCATACACGAACGAAGCTAGCCAACAAGAGGATGGCACGGTGCCCTCCCGCTGGCTTCTCAATAAGTGGAAAGACCATCCACATGAAGTGACGAGGAAAGAGTCCTAGTCGTTCCACTGCTTCAAACAATACACTGAGGGTCTCCAGAGCTGGATCCCCCAAAAGCGATATATGTCGGGGATGAAAGCCGTCCAAGGTCGATGACGTGAACTGGCAAAAAGACCGAGAAGCACTCCGAAGCTCATCAGCAGTGGCCCGCGGGAAGCACTCACGATCAGGTACTTCGGCACGTGGAGGCGACGTCGACGCATTCCACTGTTGCTGCAGCATCCCGACCTCCGAGTTGAGCACCTCCTCAGGACTGCTGGAGTAAATGCCAGGGGCCTTCTGAACCACTGTGGGGCACCATACCTTCTGAAGTCGCGTGATCTTATGCATCAGTTTAGCCGAACCCTTGAGAGCAGTGTCGCACCACTCCGTCCACGACTGCTGCCGTAAGCGCAAGGATTCTTTTGTGGCTGCTTCAAATTCCACAGACAACTGTTCACCAAAGAAAGTAGCCCGATCCCACCACTCATGAGGATATACTTCAGGATACTCATGGATGAGCTGCCTCAAAGCGATGACCTGTGAGTCGAGCCTGACGTCCAAGCCTTCGCCAGGGTAATTCTCCACAAGACAAGTCTGCTTAAGAGAAATGGCAGCCGGGTGCTGGTGAAGCTCAGCACGCTGTTGAACCATCAACTCAAACTCATGCCACACACGGTACAGCCACTGCCAGCCGCGAGCAATGAGCATCGGATCCTGTGCGTGATCCTTGCGCCCCAGAACTGGTACCCATCGTCGTGCAAGATAGTTATGCCTGGTGAGCTTCTGGATGGGGAAGTCCAAGGCGCCTGCGATCTCTATCTCGGCATCTTCGAGAAAAACAGTCCAAGCTTGATTGAGCCTAGCCCATGCTGTACCAATCGAATCAAACTCTGCTGAGTACACTGCTTCATCCGCCATCTGCCGTGCTGCCACACAGCATCGTGGTTCAGGACGTGGCCCAAAAGGAGGAAGCACAGGAAAACGTGTATGAGCACAGAAAACCAGCTGGCGTAGGTTGACCGCATCAGGGCGAAGGTGGAGTCGAACGGGCTTATGAGGTCCTCCATGCCACTGAGAGTACACTCGAACCTTCTCCGTGGCCCTGACGATGTCCTGAGATGCCAGAAAGAAATCAATCGTACTAGCCGAGGCCGACATGATACACGTGTGCCGAGCTGGTGCCATCGTGATGAGACCAGCCTTGCGCGTGAAGCCACTCTGCTCGATCACCTCAGGTTCAACATTCCAATCAGCAGCTGCCAAAAACGATCCAGCAGAGCGGCTAATGGAAGCCCCAAGCACAGACAGCAGGTTCATGTTGGCCGTGTCCAATCCAACACTATCATGAAAGTATGCAGAATAAACCACGAACTCAGGCCAGCCTGGGATATCAACAACTGCTGAAATAAGCCGGCCTTTAACAAGCTCACCGCCTGTAGGATTCCATCGCAATCCAAGATGCTGCCGAGCAAATATGGCTACTCCCGCTGAGTGTGAACCACGTGCACAGCATCGCGACGGACTGCACAAAGCACGAAAACCTGCAGTGCGAGCAGCACGCTGAAGGTCAGGCACTGCATCAGGGCCAGTACCAATCTCCTGCGCACAAATCACCATCGAATCACTAGATCGTAAACGTTCGAGAAGCGTAGCACGGCAATTACCATTGAAAGTTTCCAGAAACTGTGGACCACCAGCAGCCGAAGACGACTTTGAACCCTTATGCTGCGGAACAATGTGGCCCATAGAAGAAACTGGGAGACCACTCAGGTACGGAGGGTTAGGGAGGCGACGTACGCTGACGCTTGACTCCCAAGGCCTCCAGCTGCTCCTCGAACTCACGCTTATCATTAGTCTGGAAGAGAGCATCGATATCCTCAGCTGACAAGCCCGAGTACTGGGCCTGCGGCATGGGGGCGTCACTTCCCTCAGGCGGTGCTGCAGCAGCAGGCTGGCCAGCGGCAGCAGCAGCCCCACCTCCTCCGCCGCCTCCGCCTGCAGCACCTGCGGCGGCGGGAGGAGAAGGAACAGCCTTTCTGTAGAGCTCCTGGAACTTGGCGAAGGCCGCACTGGACAAGAGCTGCTTGACGTCAGCGTTCGCCTCATCATCCAGCACCTCCGTGGGGAGTTCCAGCTTGACCTCCGTGAACTGGGAGTTGGCGCCAGGGCCCGCAGGCATGGTGCGGCGCAGCTCCTCCTCCAAGGCCGCCACCTCTCGCTGGCAGGCAGCCTGCTTCTCCTGCAACTCAAGCAGCGACTTCTGAGCCGCCTCAATAACTTTCTGCTGGGCGCCGACGGCTTCAGTAGCCTTGGCCTGCTTGCGCTGGGCCGCCTGAAGCCGGAACGCCACGTTGGTGTGCTGCTGCAACTGTGGCTTAGCTTCACGCTGAGCCTTGCGGGCATCACGAAGTTGCTCTTCGAGGCAGACTCTGGCGGGGTCGGAGGAGTCGACATCGCCAAGCTGCTTGAGAGCCTTCTCAAGGGAGTCGATGCGGGCGCCGCGCTGCTCCTGCTCATCACCAGGAGCGCCAGCGTCACCATCAGCAGCCTCGGGGACCTGAGCCTTCGGGTCCTTGAGGCTCTTGAACTTCTGGTCGAACTTCCGTTCGAGCGCAGCCGTGATGGTCGCGACCAGGTCGGGCGCAGGCGGACCGTTGGCCCACGCACCCTTCGGCTGTCTCGGCGCAGATGGGGCTGGCCGCTGGCCCCACTCCTTATCAGCTTTGCGGGCTGCTTGTACCACACGACCAGGAGCAGCAGCACCACAAAGACATTTAATGCGGCAGGCCCAATTCGCAGTACGAGAGCACTGTGAACAAGACCAAAGAGGCGTTCGAGGGCCTCGAAGCACGGATCCATCGCCAGCCATGCGGGCGGACTGAGGATGTGAGAAATCGCGAAAAGCCTTTTTGGCCCGACGAGGCAGGCCGCCCTGAAGTTTGCCTCGTCAAGCTCAGGCAGCAACTGGCCTGAGCCAGAACGGCTTGAGCCAAAATGGCTACGGACGCCATAGAGGAGGAGGAGGAGGAGGAGGAGGAGGAGGAGGAGGAGGAGGAGGAGGAGGAGGAGGAGGAGGAGGAGCAGGAGGAGCAGGAGGAGCAGGAGGAGCAGGAGGAGGAGGACGGACGCTTGCACCCTGAGGCCTGCGCGCTCGCAGGGGCGTGGCGCCCTGGAGCAGGAGAGGCGTCGGGCTCCTTCTGCTCGGCCACCGTGGATGTTTGAATGCATGCTTCATTTATGCATGAATGTATGCATGAACTCGTCGTTGTTCTCAGTACTAAATCCCTGCATCTTTGCTACATGATCCGCACGCGGAGCATGCATTAAAAACGGCACTGTACCTGAAACTTTCCCGAGGGCGGCCTTCAGCTTCGTCTTCCAGCCACCCCTCCTCAGGGTCTTCCCCGCGTGCGGCACGCTGCTGTCGAGCACCGGCCTTCGGCTGGCCACCCTCGAACGCTTCTGAAGATCCTGCATGTTCGGCGGCATTGGAATCCTCAGCGTTTTGCTTTCTAGCCTGTCTCCGGTTCGTCTTGTACGTTATCACCGCCTGCGATCTCAAGCACATGTCGCAGCGCTCTCCCGTGGCGGATGCAGGCGCTCTCACCCTTCCATCAGATGCTGCGCGGAGTCTGAGAACTGCCTCATCTCTCCCTCAGCGGTCAAGACAAGGTCCAAGCTCACATGGCTTTCCTCTGCCGCTGCCACCTCAGTGCCCTCCCAGGACTGCTGGTTCACTCTGCATCCCTCAGGGCCGCGGGTGCTGCGCTGTTTGATGTCGGCAAGCTCTCTGACGCCAGCGCTCAAGTCCTCAAAGGGATCGACGGCACCCCGTTCTCATTGAGCCACTCATGCCGATTCTGATCCAATTATGCACGCACGCAGACGGTGATTACCCTCAGACTGGTCCTGGCCCCGCGCTTGCTGAATTGCTTTGGCGAGGCGCTCGGTCTCAAAGTCTGGCCTGCAGCTCAGCAAGTTGTTGTGCAATTCTGCCTGAAGCGTTCGCGGCGCCTCAAAGTCCATAAGCCCCCGACAGCGAATCCGCACGTTCCTTGGCGGGGTGGGCTATTGGGCCCCCATCGGCGATCAATGGACGATTGGGCATCAACGCATCACCCCCTGATCAAATCCCCCCTACCGTTGCTCCTGAATCTGCCCCATCTCCCGCTGGATCGTTTCCCTTCTTTCCTCTTGCAGGACGGAGCCAGACAGAGAGAGCACCTCCACCCAACATTTCACCCGCGAACGTGCAGAAACCAGCCTGGACAATTCGGCTGCGCGCTCCAGGCCGCCAGATTTGCTCTGCGGGCGCACGCCCACGACCCTGGTCTGCAGCTCCCTGTCTCCCACAGTATGCATCCTCCGCCTGCCCTCTCTCCCCTCTCCCCTGCTGCCCGCCCCCCGCCCCTCCGCCCCTCCCGCCCCGCCCCGCCCCGCCCCACCTCGGCCTCCGGCCTCCGCCCCATCCAGTCCTTCCCGTCGTCTCCTCCTCCCCGCCTCCATCCTCCTCCACAGCCAAGTCGTCCCCCTCGTCCCCCTCGTCCTCCTCCTCCTCCTCCTCCTCCTCCTCCTCCTCCTCCTCCTCCTCCTCCTCTTTCCCCTCCTCCTACTCATCCTCCTTCTCAACCGCCTCGTCTGGCCGAATCGGCCATCTCCTCCTCTACCTCCTCCGCCTCCTCCTCTCCTTCACCGCCTCATCCGGCTGGGTCGTCCTCGACCGCCTCATCCTCCTGCTCGTCCTCGCAATCGTCGTCCTCCTCCTCCTCCCTCCGCTCGTCATGCCCGCCCTCCTCCCAGGAGGCCGACGCGGCGAGGCCCCCTCCTCCATGGTGTACCCGTCCACGGAGGCGAGCCGCGCGTACTCCCCGAGCACCCACGAGATTACCTGAGAGGAGCGGTGGCGGGCACGGAGTGGCCGCCAGGCTTCGGCGCGACGGTGGCTGCCGCCGCCGCGGCTGCCGCGGTCTTCGGGCCCGCGTCTTCGCTGCGGTTGTGTCGCCGTCGTGGGCGTGTCGTCGTCACCACGGCTGTCGTGGTCGTCGTCTTTGTCGTCGTCTTTGTCGTCGTCGTCGACGCCGCCGCCGCCGAGACGCCATCGTCGTCGGCGTGATCGCGGAAGTCGGCAGGAGGCCACGCTTGGGGTGTCCTCTGCTGCCTTCCAACTGCCTCACGCCCTCTGCCTCCCCAGCCCCACTCCTGACTCCTGCTGCCACAACCCCCGGAGGGGTTGTACTCCACTGCCGTCCTTGAATCGCCCTCCACACCCACTCCACGCATTGTGCTCCACCACCTCCTCTTCCTCGTCCCCTTCCCCTTCCCATCCCTCTCCCTCTTCCTCTTCCTCCTCCTCCTCTTCCCCTTCCCCTTCCTCTCCCTCTTCCTCTCCTCCCTCCCGCTCTCCTCGCCAGGGCAATACGACCTTCGCGAGCGCCGCGCCCCCCCCCCTCCCGCCCCCAAAAGAGAGCCACGCCCCCCCCCCCGTCACACACACACGCAAGCCTTCCCCTGCCGCAGCCCGCGCCCCGCCCGGGGCAGCGGGCCCCCCCTTCCTCCTGGAGACGACGCGCCCTCCTCCAGGGGTGGGCCTGCACGGTGTGTCTGGGCGATGTCGTGGGCCGTGTGCGCTCCGATGCCGCTCTGCGTTAGAAAGGCGGCTCGAAGACACAACGAGGGAGAACGAGAACAGAACGAGCATGACAAACTGAAGGGGCCCTGGGACACGCCAATAAATACACACAACTCAAAAGATGTCCCGTAGTTCCTCATGTTTTCTGGGTTTCTGTCTTCCCCACCACTGCCCATATTTTCCAATATTTTCTAGGGAATCGACGATTAATCATGTCTGTGTGTTTCTTCCCCTCCTGACAAACTTGGGCGCCCGAGTTATCCGGGGTAACTCGGGTCTGGGGTTTCTCGGGTTTGGATTCCCGAGAAAGGAACCCGAGTTAGCCTTGACCCGAGTTACCCCTGATGATTCGGGGATCTAGACGCCCGAATTATCCGGGGTAATTCGGGTCCGGGGTAACTCGGGATTGGATTCCCGAAAAACGAACCCGAGTTATCCCTGACCCGAGTTACCCCTGATGATTCGGGGCTCTGACAAACACCGTTTAGGTGCAGCCCTGCCCTCCGCTGCCGCAGCCCGAGCATCCCGCCCCATCCCCCCGGCGAGACCCCGCCCGCCGCCCGCACCCCCGGGCCTGGCGCGACAGCCAAGTGACGGCGGGCACGACAGCGACTGCAGCGACTGCGGCGACGACGACGGCGACGACGAACGAGACGAAAACGGCGAGAGCGAGGGCGACAGCTGCGAGAAAGAAAACGACGACCGACGACTGAGGACCGACGTGGGATACTCTGGAGCTCGGGACTCGGGGCCCTGACGGGCAGGTCGGGCAACGTAAACTAACAGCGGGCAGCTTTGAACTACAGTAGGGGCCCCACCACAAGAAACCTTCCACAAGAAACCCAACCCTGAGACCCCATGACGTCTATCGATGTTTGGTCTGGGGACGAAACGCCTTCCATGGCAAAAGCCATCGAAACCCAAGAAACACAGGGCACCCTGGAGGCCAGCAGGGTGTTTCTCGGCATGGATTCCCACTGTATTCGAGCCGGCGGGGTCCCAACGGGCGGGTCTGGCGGGCGGGACCCTCACGGGCGGGTCGGGCTGGCGGGACCTCAAGACGGGCGGGTGGGCGTTCGAACACCCGAGCAGGCGGGGCCCCAATGGGCGACGAGACGCCTCCAGGAGGCCCCCAACATAGAGACGACTGACTTCCGTGGGAATCTCAATAGCGTGTGCCTACGCCAGCTGTGCCCCCGACTCTGGAGAGGCGCAGGAGGTAACGTTACCTCCTCGACCGCGAGCGGGCTCAGAAAACTGGGGCCGCCTACAAGGAGGAGGATGAGGTGGAGGAGGAGGAGGAGGAGGAGGAGGAGGAGGAAGGAGGAGGAAGGGAGGAGGGAAGGGGAGGCGGAAGAAGGAGGAGGAGGAGGAGATAGAGGATGAAGAGGGAGGGGGAGAAAGGAGAGGAGGAGGGAGGAGTGAGGAAAGGAGGAGGAGGAGGAGGAGGAGGAGGTGAAGGAGGGAAGAGGAGGGAAGGGGAGGGGAGGGGAGGAGGGAGGAGGAGGAAAGGGGAGGTGGAGGAGGAGGGAGGAGGGAGGAGGGGAGGGAGGAGGGAAGGGAAGGAGGGAGGAGGAGGAGGAGGTGAAGGAGGCGGAGGAGGAGGCGGCCGCCTCAAGCAGCCCGTACGGCCCGAGAACGTCGGCGAGGGCCGCCGCTGTCTCCGCTGGCCCTCCTCCAGACCCCCCCGGCGCGCTCCGCGCGCTGGGGGAGGGGGGCCAGAGCACAGATCCCAGAGATCCGCGCACACCTCCGAAGCTTCAGGTTCACGAAGCCCGCTGGTCCTCCGGGAGGGGGGTCCCGAGGAGGGCCCGCGAAGACCGCGGGCGGCCCTGGCCTGGCGCTCTCAGGCCGCGCGGGGCTGCTGCTCCGCCGAGGCGGAACAGCCCCTCCGGCGTCACCCCGGGCGACGGTCTCGGCCAGCGACCCGCGGAGAGGCAGCGAACCGCGCCGAGGGAGCGGGCGGCGGCGGCAGGGGGCGGGCCACGGCCGGGACGAGCAGGATGCCGGGATGCCTTGGGCTCCAGGCAGACTCCAGGAATCAA